GTTGGTAAATGACTGTTTTATATTTTGTTTGAGCTACTTATTTATACTAATTTAGTACGTGTGTCTTATGCTGATTCTCAAGGCATGGTTGTTAATGCTTGCACTAAGACGTGCATGAATGTCGGAAGAGGGTTAGACATTCTGGCACGTCTGTGGCTGCTACACTTACTAATAAATATATACCTACACGTTGCAGACTAGGACAGTGTCAGAAGATATTTACGCAATCTAGTTTTGAAAATAGGAAGCGACTTTGAATGTCGGAATTCAGACGGGAGTTCGTTCCATAGTTCAGCAGCCTTAATCGTAAAGGAGGTTTATTTCGGTAGATTATCCATTTTAGACCTAAGTTCACGGTTGTGATCCTCCCTAACTATTTTATTTATGCAATATAAGCAGGGAAAGCAATACACCCGGTTAAATAATTAAACTTAAATAACTTTTTTACAAAAAAAGTCAACGTCAATTTTGTGGGTCTGATAATTTTTATTGAAATCTGTTAGCAAAAGATTTTAGGAGGTCTTCTTCTTATCATATCGATGACATACATTATACTATAGTGGCCCAGAACTCAGCCACGCCGACCGCGTCGCTAGCAGCCGCCTAGTGCGCGTCTGCGCGTGTGCGCGTGTGCGCGCGTGTGTTAAGAGGGAGCAGAGGAAAAATTCCTAATCTTCGATTTGATTTTAGAGAGATATATCCACTTTAAAGTTAAAAATAAAATATTGTATGAGTAACTACACGATATATTCAAGCATAGACATTAATCAGAAACATAAAACAATAAAGTTTCCTCGATAGATAAAAATCACGAAATGACCTCTAATTTTCACATTTTTTCGATTCATCCTCGAAATGCTACAGGTTATTAGGACAAAAATTAGATAATTAATTATATTTATGCATGATCGACGCCTGTCACTACGGATTTTTTTTAATCCCTTTAGTTTTAGAGTTACTCCGCTAAAACGAATTTGGTACTTTTAATGCGCAAAATTCAACATCTCCTGTCGCATGTCACGCGAACTTCAGGCATACATTTGTTTCACAAATTTGGGCGGAGCCAACGTCAAAACTTTTTTGGCATGCTCCCTCTTAATGTGTTTGTGTGTGTACATATTAGTAGGTATAAATCAGTCACAACATAAAACATGAGATCGAAGTAATTTCACACAGTGAGGAGTACTGTAAGTAACTGGAGTCGAAGAACAGAAGAACACAAGTATTATTATCATTGGGTTTGTATTGATAGCTGAGCTTCAGTAGACTGATAGTCGAGACTGAGCAACCAATTTGTGACTTTATTCTTACATACATTTTTAGTCAATGAGTGTAAGGCAAGTAAATTATTCACTTTATTATATAGGTAGCTTCCGAGAAAACAGAAGAACTTTCCAGCGAATTTATATTATATAGTTCACATAGCGTTATTTCTTTCTTCTGTCAATCACTTTGGTAATAATACATTACTTGGTTGACAGTTACATCATGGTAAGAATATGAGTAATATTATAATAAGCTTACTTAAGGTTACATTGAAATAAGATTGTTTTTGGAAAGGTTATGGAGGCCCCCAGTTCGTTGCCCAGTATGGAGGGGCCTTCCACCTCGGGATGAAAAGATCGTCTGATGTTAGACGAGCCTTACATTTAGACCCGGGGGACCATTGTGTCTTTCTTCTCGGGGAGGGGCAGTGCTGGGTGCGGCCAGCCGCTGGTGGAGGCGCGGACGAGCGAGACTAAACCGTTCCTCCACCTGCAGTGGAGAGGAGGAACACCCCGGGGTTTTGATGCAGTTGGGTTGCTCCCCTTCAGGGTTCAACCCAGCTCCACATAACCCCAGCTCTGCCCCCGTAGGGCCGGGCAGAAAAAGAAATAAAGGGCACACAGGGCACGATATGAGGTGGTCTATCGTTTCAATCGCACAGCGCAAGCAGTCCAGGTTAGAACCATCCGAAAATCCCCACCTGAACAAATTGTTCGTGCTCCGACCAACCTGAGTTCGAAACCTGTTCAAAGACTTCCAGATCGACCATGGTAATTCGTGTCCAGAAGGAAGATTCTCAGAAGGTGGGACAAACGTAGATGGTACACTTTCGCGCCAAAGGTTGCACCTCGCCTGAGCCGGCTCAATACTCAAAGGATCGACATTTGACATCCATAATATTAACCTTAGAGCTAAGTCCAAACTCATGGTACCACGATTTCGTTTAACCAAGGCAAATGACTCTTTTATGGGGAACTGTATACATTTTACAATAAGATTCCGGAGCATAATTATATTAATATTATCATTTCCTAAGTTTAAAAACTAAATTAAAAATATTTTGATCGGAAAGTCACATTACAAAATTGAAGACTACGTGTTAGATAAAGATGTATGGAAAGACGACATGGCTCTAGATTCCACACAAATTTGATTCAAAGTGTATTCCATAGCATTCAAGTTTATTTGAAAACAGCAATCCCTAGAGTTATTTGCTCGTTCTTCTCTGGGAAGTCAGCACACTGAACGAGCAGTAGCTTAAAAATGACGTTTTCAAGTGTAAATTTATTTTACCTATGGTATAAATGATATTTTGACTTTGTCAAAACTTTTCCGGCTTGTCAGTCTCTGTTGCACTGTGAAGTGATCATACGTAGGGTGCCGACTGTTGATGGCCATTTTTGCTCTTTCGCAAGATGCCGCTACGTTTCTGCATTTGCCAGCTAGTGGCTAAAGTAATCTTACCGGGATCGGCTTAAGACAGCCAGTTATGGTCCGGCAAGTCTCATTTAAGGCTATATCCACAAATTTTTCATGGGTAGAACGGCTTTAAAGTGCCAGCCCAGTAGTATGGATGTGCTGCGGCGAAGCTCCCCACTTGGTGGTGATTTTTTAGACAATATCCATAAATGTATCGTACATTTTTTCTAAGATCGTTATTTAATAGTAAATACTTAAACCATTTGATGTAGCAAAATAGTTTTCCCCGCTTCTCCTTCGGTGACTCTATGCCACCATAAAGCCCCATTTAGATGGAGAGAGTTTATAGCACGCGATTATCGCCAGCAATAATCGCCATAAGATTATCGTATCATAATGTTTACATTCAGGCAAGAACTAAAATCTCGTCTACGATTGTCATACGAGATTCGCAAGCAACTTAATCGCCTCCTCGACTGTTTACACACAGAAATATGTAGTAAGGAGATTCTTGCTTACGAGTTTTCGACTTGTCTAAACACGATCTCGTATGACATTTTTTCAAGTTCATATGATAATCGTACAAATCGGTTTGAACCATTTTGAGTGCGACAATTGCCATTCGAGTTCAGTGATTACTGCGGTATTGAATAATTAATATTATCAAAGTGACGCAAAAATCAATGAATAAAAATTAAATCTGTCCAAATGGCAGAAATCTGTCCAAATGGCAGAAATCTGCCACAAATGGTCACAGTTCTCAATATCTATGTGATATTGACGTTCCTTTGCAGCTTTCGTTATCTCTCATTTAAATATTGTCTTAATATTTTTGTCACATTGTGTTTTATTTTTTGCTTTATGTCACTGTTTGATTATTTCATTAGGTATTTTATAGCTTTAATGTGTTATGTGTGTACTATAAAATGACCATTACTTCAGGTAGGCAAACATTCAATCTTGCTTAAAATCAAACGTTACCTAATCTATGGTCAAACTGAATCAATTACGTTGTGTTCTTGCATCTGTACTAAGATACAATGTTTTTATTCCCGATTTCTAAAAATATACAAAAATATATTGATAACTAGCATTGACCTACCATTATATGGACGTCGGGTTTGAGCTAAAAAGTGTCCGCACCTATAGGGCGTTAAAATACGGAGCGTCAATCGCGCAACAGTCTTCATTTGTTCGAGTGACATCGCGGTTGTCAATCATGCAGTACCATATAATAATAACTTGTAAAAATTACCGCAGTAAAGTGTAAAAACAGGATTTTGTATCATATTTTCACTAAACAAATATATTGTTTTATCATAGTTCTCATTTAAAAGTGTTTTTTGTACAGTTTTATCGTATTTAATTTATATATAAATGAATCGTAAATATAAATTACAAAAGCACACAAAATAATCAAATAGCTAACTGTCCTTTTTCTACACATTGCATGCGCAAACGATGGAAAGAGACTCATTACGTCAATTTCAAGAAGCTTGTATAACCTTTTTGGTCATTTTCAATTGTTCGAACCACAAGCGATTGAAATATTTAGAACAAAGAAACTATAGAGTCGCTTTGATTTTCAATATTTATTAATATTTAAAAAATAAAAAATATTTTTTATTAATGATGTTTAATTCGAGCTAACGAAATAAAATGTCAAATGTATTTTTTTAGGAAGATTACAAAACTAAACTAAATCGGTTTTCGGAATTACGGTTTACGTTTAGTTGGAATATCAGTACATTTCTTATAGTACACGCTTATTTTTACATTTGTAGGAATATTTGCATGTATCTGCCCAACTCTTTATTATTTCTTTAAGTGAATTGTAATTAATATTTACGATAAAGGCTACTCCATTACTCTTGCGTTCAAGTAATTTTCAGTCGAAGGTAAATATGGTGCATTTTGTTAAATTTTCAGTAGAAGCTGAATATGGTGTTATTGGGCCCTTAAATTTTTGCAAGCAAAATTAGGCAGTATTGCAATAACATTACAATTTAAATTAAATGTTTTATTTTTTTATATTTCGTTACATGTCACTACGTTTGTATAGGTTAACATCGGACATTTTTTTCGTGGTTTTAGAATTAGACCCGACGTCCATTTGTTGGTAGGTTAACTTGGTATAAACTAAAAATTATACTAGCAAAGTCCATGAACGGTTCTTCGTCGTTATTATGGCAGCTTTCGCCATCCTTCTTTGACAAACTTCAGAACGGGTTTCTGACGTAATATTTTACTTTGAACTTTTCACGGGGTTTGAAAGTTTCGGTAAATAAATTGAGATATAAGTATGTAAGTCTCACATTTCGCTTCGGTGGCTCTATTCTGGGAAGGGTAGCAGTTTCTTTGCAAACCATTACTGCAGCCGCTGTAAGAAAGCATTACACAACGTCATAAATAAAATTAATTTAAGGTTATGGACATGGTAACCTCAGTAATTTGAATTTGATGAAGTCAATACGAATTATTTTATAAATAGTACAGAAGTGTACTTCTGCGAGGGCAAGTTATTACGCGTTTAATACCTAGTGAATATTTTGAATATGTTTTTTAAGTGGCGTAATTTAGTATAATCTTTTGATAATACGCGGAAATTTTTAATGAAACTGGTGGGAATCAAGTTACATGGACGCCTCGCCCCTGCTAAGTTAACCTCTCGATACTACGAATGTTGAATTGTATTAGGTCAAAGATTTTATTAGTAAAAAAAAGTAGATACATTATGTTATACAGCAACTAGCGCTTACAAAAGGCACCACTTACACACACAAATATGCGCCACGCTGAAACATGGCAATATCCAAGCCTAGCTTAGCCTGTAGTATAGTCTGTCATTTTTAAAGACGGAGTAAAATTATATTTCCTGGGTTGCCAGTTTTGATAAAAATCTAAAAAAAAATTGTTAGTTGTCGACAGTTTTATCGATAGATAGTGGAAGGTAAAATTTTAACAAAAATGTCGATATTGTGAATGTTACAACATTTTAATGATTTCCATCGTGTATGTAACCAGAAATTGAGACGAAATGTCATTTAATTTCTTTGAAAACCATTTTGCCAAACCATTACGGTGACAACTGCGCTCCGATTGGCCAACCCGAATTCGAAACAATTGACGGGTGTCGTCAATTGTTTCACTTCAAAACTACCAGTTTAAGTATAATGGACGAAATTGAAAAATTACACGTTATTTAATATTTAATTGCCGTTTTGCTGTTTTTCCCACACCAAAGAATGGAATAGACCCCCATAGTTAAATATATTATACAATAAATACAGAATAGTTTTGGAATATACGTACACACAGGTCAGTTGTTGGCGCTGTACTATTTCAGCTTTCTAATTTGTGACTTCAGTGCAAATGAGAGTTGATATTTAAAACTGACATAAGGCCCATTTGCCTGACGCATTGCCAGTGATGGTTGGCCCTTCGTCTCTATTCCTGGTTATATACTCGATGCACTAGCTGCTTGCAAGATGGCAACACTTGCGCAATGAACTGTCATCTTACTTCATCTTCAAAAAGACGGACTATGGTTTTTGTAAAATCTCATAACATATGACGGCATCTTTTGTAATGTAAACGATTGCCTCTAACGTTCCTTACATTCGGCAGCTTCAGAGCACAACGCGAGACTGATCTCAATTAGCCCACTTTAACATACCACATACCCACTTATTTTACTTACTTTGTATTACGCTAAATAGGTGGGTCTATCTAAGAGCTGTTACATCGCTACACTTGGGTTTTATAGACGATTGCATACAATCACCTCCAAATCGGAAGTATAGCGATGCAATCTCGCGTTCACTCTAAATATAAATTTACCTTGAATCTCCGTGTGGACCACACTCGAAGTCTGTAAAAAATATATTATATATATTATTACAAGTATGTTTATTGAATTGCTCTTTAATGTTTATTCCAATATTAACCGCTCACGCGATGCGCTCATCATACCGCAAAATGGCGGCTATTTGGTTTCGCAAATTAGAAAAGGATTCAGTTTAAATACAAGTTTTTATAAATAAAAATTATTATTCTGCATTGCTAAATAAATACCCTCCGTACTACAACAAAAATATCTCAAATAAAATGCAGTAATACACCGCAAATCCTGCACTTAAAAAGCACTAATGAAATTTTTGGTGTACTTGGATTAATATGATAATATTCCGTTTGAGTGGTTCTAACGTTTACCATGAAATTACTCCTTAAAGTATAGTTTATAAACATTTATATTCAGGGTAAACTAAAAAAACGCTACTTACGGTATGTTTTCAATAAATAAACACCGAAATCACCAGCCCAAACAATACCTAAAACACACGATTGTCGTGAAGTATTTTTGAAGTTGTTCATTTTTTTTAAATGACAGACCCAGGCATTAAAAACTTTATGGTTTGCTAGAGTAGTTACCGAAATAGCAATTAGTATTAGTTCTTTTACCTGTTATAACTTCGATATCCGATAAATCGGTATAAAATCATCACCGGCACCTCTAGGTGTGGTATGTGTCTACGGCTGCATGTATCGCGTGAGCGGTTAAAGAGCAATTATTATTAACTATTATTTTATTCCAAAGATTCGCGAAGCGTTACGCTTCCACATTTATATGACGAGCGGTTAGGGAGTGGAATTCCTTGCCTGAAGACTTGTTCCCTGAACGTTATAACTTGGACCTTTTCAAGGTGACAGTGAATAGGCATTATTTAGGTATGCATGCTCCATCGTCGACCTCATCGTCACTTTCCATCAGGTGAGATGGAGGTTAAATGCGCACTTACATTTGAATAAAAAATATATTATAAGACAATTTACATTACTAAGTGTCAAGAGACGAACAAGTCTTGTGTCAGATAATTAAATGTTAAAAGTTAGTAATGTAGTTCTGCGCGGTCACTTGCATCCCACACAGGCACGGGGTGCACCCTTCTATTCTGCCGTCGTTACTTGAAAGGGCGCTTGTGACTAAAACACAAAACTGAGAAAATAATGTTTAAATAAATTGAATGAAAAAATATCTGCTGTTTCCAAACGAAAAAATCTAGACATTGTCTGCAAACGCAGACAAGTTATACGCAAAATATGGAATTTATAAAATATTTTATTACTTGTGCTTCATTATTTAATTATTACACTTTCTCCTCTTCAACTTGGTAAAAAAATGTTCGTCAAATATTCAATAATAGGTAAGATAGGCGCAAGTAATCACTTATGCCTTGTCAACTTAGCATTAATTACAACACTATTGTAAACGTTAGTGTAATGTCTGTAACGTTAATGTAAAGATAGTCGTAGCTTGACATTTTCAGAAGTTTTATTCCTAATGAAATGTAACATTTTCACTTTAATTTGTGTGAACAAACTGCAACTGTCATCTGAGAAATTATTTTTCGGTAACAACAATTAACAATTTGTTTTGTATATGCGTCCAATTAACTTAGTTTGACCATAAAAGAGTGGGTACTTACGCCCTTTTCTCATACGGTAATTTCATACCTGTATTAGGTATGAAAAAAAAGGAAAGGAAGGAAAAAAACATTAAATTATGGCAGATTCGTCTTTTTCTTTTTGCTGATCACGGCAGTACATGTAACTACTATTTTGAAAAAGTGTCACTTACGTCCTTTCAACTTACGGCAGCGTTACCACTGTTAGATACAAATGCTATACGACACGGTACGTTGAAGTAGGTACGGCAGCGCGATGTCGTGTACGCAGTCTCCAATACCTTTGATTAATCTGGCTTTTTCCCTTTAAACCAAACCACTGCAATGCTGCATGTTCAGAGTCCTTACTGTGGTTTTCAGATAAGACACTGTTAGCTGTCCCCTTATCTGATATAAATAACTTCGTCTTGATCGTTATCTGTCTCTTTTTCATTCCATCTTCTCTTCTATAATTCTTCTAAAGAAACTGTCGTGACTTATCAAACGCTTAAATATCTTTCTCTTTCTGTTCTCTATTGTCTTTAAAAAGCTTATATTTTATTATGAAAACTAACGCGGTTATCACACATTATAATATAAAAGTAACGGGACCTCTTCTTCGCTTACGTCATCCACGTCGTTACTACTAACATGGTGAGCTCTGTGTGCTGGACTGTTCCTGACAACAATCCTATGGACAGCAGTAGTGAAGAAGCGTTCCAGGACGCGCTGACGCAACGTATCAGCCCCCCGAGTTCCCCACTGCGGACTGCGTCATCGGCGCGCGCGCAGAGAGCCGCAGCGCGCAGTGCTAGACGTGACGCGGTCGCGAACGTTGCACTCAACCCCTGAAGAAGACCATCGATTATGGTCGAAACTAGTCGGACCGCTTCCGACTAAAATATTATGCGAGTAAGCCCCGTTACATTTATATTATAATTTTTTTATATTATTATTTTCAGGTGCTAACACCAGCACCTATGTAACAGGAAAACTTACGCTCTTATCAGCCATGAAAGTGTGCCTGTCGTTGAAATTCTCTCCAGGAGTACATCGCGGTGCCGACGTTTCATATTTATATCTCGGCTGGGAACATAAGAGAAATATATGTGGTATAATCAACGAAAAGGGATGAGCGCCCAATTACACAAAAGATGTCGCGCGACCGCCCTAGGCAACAACATTTAAATTTCTTGGAATAATAGAACGGTGCAGTCGCCACATAGACCAAAGACACGCCAGTATCGCCCACGCGCCCAGTTTGCTTATTTAAGGTAAAACGTAAAGTTGAAAGAATAGAGCATATTTTGCCATGACAGTTAGACGCAGTTAGACGCGGTCGCTACGCGACGACTGGACGGCGGCCGCGCGACGTGAGCGCGATAAAATTCGTATAGAATAAACGATAAGGGCTAAAATTATTTCTTCTTCCTGCACCAACATAAGATAAATTTATTTCAATATAACTTAAGTTGTATTTTACTTATAGTTTTTAAGAATAAAAACTCCAATGTAGTAATTTAAACTTATTTATTCGTTGTCACTTCGTAGAAACGTCTACAATTCCAAATTCACAATTTCTGTTCACTAATTATTTTTCCTAATTACTTAATTTAATAATAAACTTTTATATTCGACTTCTTTCGAACGAGCAACCCACAAGACTGTTCGCCACCGCATTTTTTCTTTTTTCCTCCCTTCTACCCCTACTTCTTTTCCCTCCAATGGATACTCGCTTTTGATTGGTCAGTATAACAACCAATCAAAATCGAGCATCAGTGGCGCCACAAGTACATAAAAATAATACTTATGGCGCCAAAAATAATATGCAACTAGAATATATTCTTTAAAATTAAGGGAATCATGACACTCGGCCATCCGTCTTAGTGCCACCACCCGGTGCACGGTTTATAAATATTGAGTACATTTTACAGTATAGAATAAACGGAAAGTGTACAAATAAGGAATATTTAAATACATTACGAATAATAAATTTATAAACCAAATACAGTTTTGAAATCAGAGAAAGTAGAGATTAATTAATATACTTACATTATCAACATTTCACAAAATTTAAGTGGTAACATTTACTCGTTAGATACTACAAATCTACAACTGTATAATTTAAGTTTTCGTACTAGTATGTTTATAATTACTTGTAAAATAAAAAAAAACATTTTCTTTTTATATTACGATTGCTTAAATATTAAATTAATAAATAAATTTCACAACATAAATCAATCATGACACTCGGTACGGCACAGTCATTAATTATTGGCTGTCGTTTGTTAACGACGCTGCAACTCAGACAGAGGAATGTCATCCTCATCTTGTTCACTATCAGAAGGTTCTGTTTCTGAAGAGTCATAAGATTTGTGATCACCAGAACTAATTTTTATCCAAGGTCTTATTCTGTCTGCTGCAATAACGCTCTGATACGACTTTCTCTTTTTGCTAAAGCCTGGAATTTCTGTAATTTTGTACCTATCGTTTCCCAGTACTTCTAAAATTTTATAAGGACCCACAAATTTTGACAAAAGTTTTGTACTGTTACCCTTGTTGTAAAAATTAGTTCTTGTGATCTTGACTAGATCACCTTCTTTGTAAACAGTCGCGGGAGCACGGCCAGCGTCATGCTGACGTTTTTGTTTATCTTGACTGGCCTGAATATTGACACCAATCTCATCCCTCAAATCCTTCAAATTTTCAGGTTCGACATTTGTATCAATATCAAGCTTATTGGCTAGGCTATCGCGAAGTTTCATACCGAACAAGGCTTCTGATGGAGTTTTCTGGGTTGTAGCGTTAGTAGTGTTATTTAAGCTCCATTGTAATTTACCGAGGTGCATGTCCCAGGCGCGTTCATCATTACATAATATGTTGTATTTAGTCAAGGAATCCAATATAGTTTGATTATAACGTTCTGCTTGACCGTTCGCTCTAGGACATGCAACTGCATTTAGGGTGTGTTTTATACCGTGAAAGTCACAAAACCTTTTGAAAGCTGCAGACGTAAACGAGGTGCCACGATCGGAAATTATTCGAGAAGGCAACCCAAAATCGTAGAAAATATTTTCAAGAACTTTTAACGTGCATTTTGTTTTTGTGGTCTTCACGGGTTTCATAAAAGAATATTTCGTAAAGCCATCAACAATCGTCAATATGTAAGAATTTCCATTTCTGCTTCTCATAAAAGGACCAAGATGGTCAATATGGAGAGTGTGGAATGGAATATTTATCTTTTTAATTGGAAACAAATGACCCGTCTTATGCCTGGCGGCGCTATCTTTGTTATAAGCACATTCCAAACAAGACTCTACATATTTTTTTATGAATCGGCGCATCTTTGGGAACCAGAAGAGTGACTGAATTCGGTCAGTTGTTTTTGCGATACCTAGATGTCCCATGTCATCGTGATTGAACCGACAAACCTGAAACCTTGCATTGCGAGGGACTAATAGACGCAACCTATCATCGATTTTCCTATAAAGTTTGTGATCTCGAATGACATAATTCTTTTTAATTTCTTTCGATTCTTCGTCGTTCTCAGGTTTAAGGATTCTAACTATTCGCGAAATATCGGGGTCCATCATTTGCAATGTAAGCAACCAGTTCTCTTTTTCTATGTGGTAAACTGTGTAGCGAGAATCGTCGATGACGTCAGTTAATTTGGAATTTCGACTGAGGGCATCGACATGACCCATCTGAGTACCAGGCCGATACTCTATCTCAAATGTGAATTCACTAATTTGTAACCACCATCTGGCTATACGAGGCACCAGGTCACGTTTGGTGAGAGTTGTTCTGAGGGCATGGCAATCGGTTACTACTTTAAAAGGCATCCCCAATAGGTAAACTGTAAACTTCTTAAGAGAACTGACAATAGCTAGAGTTTCCAACTCGTACGAATGCAAGTGACGTTCTTCCGGAGTAGTTTGTCGACTGAAATAAGCAACCGGCTTTAAAACGCGTGGGTTTTCTTGCCATTGCAGTATTATTCCACCTATTCCAAGGGCACTGGCATCTGTGTGGAGTTCAGTGTCGAGTTTGGGGTTATAAAGTGACAGTATTGGTCGTTCCACCAATTTATTTTTCAGATGGGTAAATGCTTGTGACTGGGGGGTTTCCCATAGAAAGGGGGCATCCTTTTTCAACAAGTTTGTAAGAGGTCTAGCGATCTCACCGTATCCTCTTACAAATCTTCGAAAATAGCTTGTTAGGCCTAGAAATTGGCGAACTTCGTGAATATTTTTGGGCACAGGAAACTCTTTAACCGCTAATATTTTGTGCTCATTAGGCCTTATTCCGATAGCAGAGATCTCATAACCAAGATAGTTGATGGTATTGTCGAAAAATCGACATTTAGAAAGTTTGAGGGTAAAATTGTTCTCTCGTAAAAGTTTTAAAACGTCTTCCAACCTTTGAAGTCCTTGCTCCAGGTCCACAGATGGCACAAGAATATCGTCCAGATACGCGAGTGCCGACTCAAAGCGCTTTGAACCGAGCATTCTATTTATTGCCCTCTGGAAGACTGCCGGGGCATTCGCAAGACCAAATGGCATTCTTTTAAATTCATAATGACCGTCTGGTGTTACGAAACCGGTAAAGCGCCGGCTTTCTTTAGTCATAGGTATCTGGTAATAACCTGAAGCAAGGTCCAAAGTTGTGAAGTAAGAATTACCACTGAGATTGGTTAATTGGTCATCAATCAAGGGAAGGGGAAAACAGTCCTTTTTAGTCTTATTATTTAACGACCTAAAGTCAACGCACAAGCGTGGCTCGCCCGTCTTTTTTCTTACCATCAAAATTGGGCTTGCATAATCGGAATTAGATTCTTGGATGATATCGTTTTCTAGTAAGTCATTAATTACATTGCGTACTTGTTCTCTCTCAGAATGTGATAGTCTATAGGGTCGGTATACAACTGGTCTGTCGTCTGTCAGATCGATAGTCATTTCAACATTTTCTGCACATCCTATTTCGGCGAGGCCCATTGCAAAACAATCACGATAAGATTGTAAGAGGTTATGCAATTTATCTACTACTGTATCACTAACATTCTGGCCCACCTTGATATCTGCCCTACGAAGTGGTTCCCATACCGACACATCCTTCACAATCCTATTAACGTGACAAACCCTTTTTTCGACGAATGCAGTCGCTCTGGCTAAAATTGTGTTAGACTCCAACACAAAAGGATCATTTGC